ATATAGTTAAATATTGCAACGGAAGCACTAGGAATAATGGGATCTTCTTGGATTACTAAAGGAGGAGAAGCAAACTAGATGCTGAATTGTGGAGTAATAAAACTTTCCATAGAAAAGTTCCCTTCATCCTCCGATTTTCACACACTCTCTTCCCTAATATCTCTCTTTATATGTTCCCCTTTCAAGAGTAGATTCCTCCCCTATCATTTGATAGTTAAACCCATCCAACACGCAAAACTAAGAATAATGGGATCTTCCTGGATTACTAAAGGATGAGAAGCAAACTAGATGGTGAATCGTGGAGTCATAAAACTGTCCAAAGAAAAGTCCCCTTCATCCTCCAATTTTCACACACTCTCTTCCCTAATATCTCTCTGTATACGTTCCCCTTTCTAGAGTAGATTCCTCCCCTATCATTTCATATTTAAACCCACCCAACACGCGAAACAAAGAATAATGGGATCTTCTTGGATTACTATAGGATGAGAAGCAAACTAGATGCTGACTTGTGGAGTCATAAAACTGTCCAAAGAAAAGTCCCCTTCATCCTCCGATTTTCACAGACACTCTTCCCTAATAGGCCAAAGCTCCTATTTGCAACCTCCATTTAATTCTTTTCTGCGGTCAACACCTTCCAAAATTTTTCCTTCCTATTCACACCATCAACTTTTCAAAACACGTGAAAAACCCAATATTTTAACGCGCCATCACGGAACCGTTAAAAAATGCACTAAGTGGCACCCAGAAATTGACGTGGCACTATGTGGCGTTAGTAATCTAATGTGGATCCCTTTTTTTTTTTATGATGTGGCTTATTTTCTACACACGTGGACGCCATGTGTACAATGAGACCAACAAAAAATTATAATACGTAGTACCAAATAGTAACATAAACGTTATGTCACCTTATTAATCCAATGTGGACTTTTTCTTTTTTTTTTTTAATGATGTGGCATTTCTTCATCTTTTTCTTTCCCCCTCATCCTCGACATCATCTTCACCATCCTCTTTCCCAATGGGTTCTATGGAACCCAGATTCTAGGTTCCTCGCGGGGAACCCAGTTTTTGGGTTCCTTCGTGGAACCCAAATTCTAGGTTCTTGGCGGTTATGGGTTCCTACATGGAACCCAAATTCTAGGTTCTTGGCGGGGAACCCAGTTTCTAGGTTCCTACATGAAACCCAGATTCTAGGTTCCAACCATTTTTTTTTCATTTTTTTATTTTGAATGTATTTATCTTAGTTTCCTATTTTATGCAAAGCAATTTGGAATAATTTTTTTGTTGGAAAGGTGAGTTTTTTTTCTTGGAGATTGTTTCTAAACAAGTTGCCAACTTGAGTTCAAGTGGGATTAACACCAATGGCAATAACGGTTTTTTTGTTTTTTTGTGGGAAAGGGGTGGAAGATGCATATCATGTTTTTGTGCACTATTCATTTACTTATAATTGTGTGGATGAAGATCTTAGCTTGGTAGGTATTCATGTGAAACTGGGTTCTGCGAGGAACCCAAGAGGATGAGGACGAGGATGGTGAAGATGATGCCAGGAAAGAAGAAAATAAAGAAATTAAAATTAATTATGATTTAATTATAACACATCATAAAAAAATAAAAAAAAGAAAAAAAAAGAAGTCCACATTGGATTAATAAATGTGACATAACGTCCTGGGTTCTTGGTTCCATGAGGAACCTAGGAGCATGAAGAGGAAGATGATAAAGATGATGCTAGGAAAGAAGAAAATGAAGAAATTAAAATTAATTATGATTTAATTATGCCACATCATTAAAAAAAATCCCACATTGGATTAATAAGGTGACATAACGTTCATGTTACTGTTTGATGCTACGTATTACAATTTTTAACGATTATTAATGGTGCAGTGA